ACAATGGGTGACAAATTTAGGAAGGGGTCGTATTTTGCAATTCTCTCCAACCGGCAGATGTGCCCTGATTCAAGTCGTTTCATAGCTGCTCATTTTAGCCGTTCTCCTCGGCGTATCGACAACTCTATGAGAAATCCAGCTTTTTTGGAAAGGAAAGAACCACTGTGAGGCCACAAATCTAACGACGTCCGTCACATTTAACGATCTATTTCCAGTTTGCTGCATCAAGAAGTGTCATTTGAAGTATCGCTAACTCCCCCCTAATTATTGTACGAGAGTCCATGATGAAAATCCCGCGACTGAATGAACAACAAAAAAAAATAACAAGCTCGCTTAGAACTCGCTTTGGAGAAACGAAGAAAAGATAGGAAGTGAGGCGTCCTGCAGAAAACAGAGCCAGCCTCTTCACCACAGTTTCGAAGACTGTCCTTGCATTACCACCTCCATCGTCGAGAAAATATTTGCCTCTACAAAACATCTTCATGTTGGTTAATCTGTAGCCCGTTTCGTGCAAGATTAAGCGGCCAATCCTCAGCATTCATGCTAAAATAGGCCTCTTTTTCCATCCACCTTTGATGATCTTCAGTCAAAGGTCAATTCAAACATTGTTTTTGGTGTGTATGCATCGCTACACGGCATTAAAATATAGTGGCCATTAGGGGGTAAACATTGGATACTTGATGGTGTTACTTGAGTTGATCATCAGTCGGTTCATTTCTTTGACTTTCGCGTGGGGTCGAAGATTTGGGTTATTTCATAGAACAACTTTCGTTACCATATTTTACTACGCGACAAGCATTTCGATTCAGACGGCTGGCTGCATAGTAGAGCTATTCGAATCTCAGAAAAGATCCACTGACTCCTAGGGACATCAGGAGTTCCCAGGCTGCCTGTGGCGCATACTTGTTTGACGGCGTAAGTGGAGTTCCATAAAGGATTCTCTCTGATTGTCGAGACAGGTCTGAAACGATCAAGAGATATTCTTCCAAATAATCTGCCTTTTCTTGCTTAGTGACATCGTCTAAGGAATTTCAATTTATACGCTTGTCAGAAGGCGTGGAACGAGTCCGCTCCCGGCGGTGTTTTCTGCCACTCGTGGGCTTATTCAATGCCTGGTGACACCGCTCCGACCGATATCAACAGTATTCGGTGGAAAACTGAGGTCATCTTCGAAAAGAAAGTCTGATAGCATGCCTGATTCATTGGCTAACAACAACGACTTCATTGCAATCTTGATGTGATCAATAAATCAATAGCAATTGATCGATCGAATGAGAACAAGTGGTTCCAAAGTTCAGGGCAACATTACCAGAAAATAGCGAGATGAAGAGTACAGTGTAAAAGTGGAATAGTGGAACAGCATGACTGACAAATTGCCAGGTTGCTGGCAATTACTGTGCGTTCGGACAATTTTGGTGCTTAATAAGGGGTTTCAGAAATACGGACCACTTTTTAGCCTGCAACTCTCTTCTTACCAGCGAAGGATACGGTAACTGTACGACATTTGAGCTTTTATTCAAGGTATTGCGAGAGGAGGGAATATGTAGCTCTGCCAGGCTCATAAACGATTTACATAAAGAGAATGAAATGAAAAACGAAATCCCTTGGTGCTCGGAGACCTATGGGGTGAGGAGGCTCCTCCCCTTCCCACCTCCATCCCTCAGGTTTTGGAAAGATGGTGAAGAAATGTCCCAGTGTCAGTGCAGAGCATTAGTTCCTTGATAAGCTTTAGCGTTTTCTTCTCTCTTGTTTTAGCCCGCGACGGCGCGGGATTAACGCTCGAGAGGGTAAGAAAACGATATAAACTTCTTATTAAAACTGGATTATGAACTGGAAACTCCTTTATAAGCCGAATGTTCTTCCGGAATCGCCTGCATGAATAGCGCATTTGAAGAAACAATCCGCGGTGGTCCATAAAAATGTGAAAGGTGTGTGGTTCTCGAAACGCAACCTGTACCAGTTTTGCTGGGGGATTTTGCAAGGCAAAGGTGCTAAGGCGCGAAACTGCTTCAGTGAAACCTCCTCTTTCTCGGTGACGCCGCCTCCAGACTTCGCCTCTCTTCAAAAAAGTCGGCGGTACCAGAAGGTCGATAGAATTGAAGCTCTGTTGCCTTTTGAGGGTCGTAGGGTTCATTATACGGAACAAGCTGGCTGGATGGATTTTTCACCATCAACGCGTACAACTGATGGCCTGAAACCAAACGGATCTTATTAGAGACATTTCCGACGTTCCCTTTGCCATTTTACTTTACTGACGGTACCCAGGCAACTTCTCCTTCATCTTTCAACGCCACAGTCCTACGCTTCCCATCACGGGCCATGCCTTCAAGAAAAATTTCGGGTTCAATTTTCACATCAAGTACTGTAATTATCAAGAATTCAGATGATATGGTAGTTGACGGCCAGATCTCCGTTGATGAATGGTGTGATTGCTTCTCGTTTGCTGACGATCTTCGCCATGAACCACCATGCCACAAGAAGAAACACTCCGTCGATCCTCATATGACTGGTAAGTACGAGTAGTTTAAATTGTAATTGTCGGACAAAAATTCATAGTTCGCTTCCGGAGCAGCCTAGAGATGGGAAAAAGGGGAATAATGTTAGCAAGGGGTTGCCAGACTAAAAGGGAAAAGCACACCTTGTGGTGGCGTACTTGCGATGGGCGGTGCTTTCCACAAAATACATTAACTCGGTTCGCGAGAGTGTTTAGAATCGCAAAAACTCGATGCAGAAGGGCAATATCTGGCGAGTGTTGGGCACGCCTAAAGTGTGTTGAGACCCGCCCACAGTGGGCGGAGCTAGTTCTCAATGCTCAAATAGTGTTCTTTGACGGCTAGAAACAAATTTTTTTTGTCAGAATTTTAACTCAGGCGTCGAGATAGCGCAATTACTATCCAGCTATCCAGAGGAATGAAAATTGCATTTGGAAGCATATGGTCACGAAGAAATACCTGATTTTTGTGCGAAGATGGAGACGATCCTCTAATATTATTAGTGGAAAGTAAAGGACAAAGAGTGAAACAGTGCAACTGATGGCTGGCTGGTTTTTTCGCTACGCCAGTCCTCTCCTCACCCGTTGTTGAAGTGGTCGAGCGACAACAATTGGTGGAAAGCGAGCTGGCGCCGCGCCAACCTAGCTCCACTGCCACGCCCTAGCACGCCGCAGTGAACACATGCTGACTACGTCGATGTAAGCCATATACTGGGCTCTTATTGCCTTTGTAATATACACTGGGTTGAGAATGCAACGAGCCCACAGAAAAGACCAAATTCCCAAGAGTTGTATAGGAGAAATGGAAAGGGCAGGGGTCAATCCCAAGACAGCGTAGCATCGGTTTACAGAGCCAACAATACAGCGGCGAAGATTGGGCCAGCGACACTGTGACAAATTCAAAAACTACCCTCCCACTACGCTTCCCCTATATTTTTAAGGGACTGGTTTCATAATTAGCGGGGTGTTATCTTTTGGTATTTGGTCCGTTCGCTTGTTCGTTAACCCTCCTCTTACAATCGTTTTTGTTAACACTGATAAAAGTAGAGTGGAGCCACGATAAAATGGGGCGATGTCAATTTCGAACGATAATCGGCTGACTTTCTTACTGTGAATATTACCAGAGGTCCTTCAGATGTTACCGTGAATATTTTCAGAGGTCCTTCAGATATAGAGGCCAACCATGAGAGCATTCTGTTTTATACATGCACTCGATATCCCAAAGTCAGGAGGGGGTGGGGGTAGCTGCATGCTGTATGTGAGTGGGGGCGATTGCACTTTTAGTGGTACACTGCCGTTTTGGAAAGATTGCCTCCATGTCTTTGTGACCTGCCTCTGTGACTGCGCGGATGATATCAGACCGAGCCGCTATGATAGGATACCCGCTAGAACCAAGCGATTTACCTTTTCCAACCACTTATGGCAGGCTCACACGCCTTTGGACGATTTGTGTACTAGAGTGTACCTTTTAAGGGTAGAGCCTGGGCGGTGGAAAAAGTCAAAGATTTCGTGCCGTACATCGAGAGCGATCAACTGAAAACAGACTTCTTTGGTGGGGTGGTGGAGGCAACTATTGGTCAAAACATCGTCTGCAGGCAGGTTACGGCAATGAGAAACGAGTTATCCAACATTACTTCCACTCCACAAGTGTTTCCAGTCCTACCTTCCTTTTACTCGAAACTACAACATTCACTGATGTACCAGTTATCCAGGAGCGCCGGAGTGGTCAACTTGGATTAGGCAGTCGAGTGGGGGGGGGGGGGGGAACAGCCAGTTTGCCTTGAACCCTTCTTTACGGGTGCGGGTAGCGAGCAAACAATTGACCGATATGTGGTTATTCTAACTAGAAGCTCCAACATCACTCACCTCTTTGTCCTACCCTCACCAACGCTTACTCGCAGATCACCATAAAAGAAGCGTGTCGACCGAATGAGGGTAGGGTAAGGGGAAGTGACTTTAATTTAATTTATTTACTATTGCAACAATAATGTAATCATGAGTTGGGACCTGTGTCACCTTCCTAAAACCCTGTTTCGCATTATAAGGGACTTTTAGCAGAACTACGTGAGTGTACATGAAACCGGAAACACCGGAAGAGGTAGGACGCTGTTCGGCGACGGGGGGGGGGGAAGTGGGGACGTTTTGCACTTTTGCTACTTCCCATCGACGTGTCGACCCATCTAGACAGCCTCTTCTCGAGTTGACAGGTTTTACCATGATGGCTTGACGAGCTTGCTCCAGCTTCACAAGAGTTCACAGGTTTCACAGAGTGAGACCTTGTAAACCGGAATTAGTGAAGCAGCGAAAGTGCAAAATGCCCCCTCCGTCGCGAAACTGCGTCAGCAACTTATAATTTTCGTCAAAGGCTGTAGGACCCCTCCCTCCAACATTCAAATACTATCCCCTATCTAGGGACCTCCAAAGCGCGACGCGCACTGGATCGCTTGAACCTGCCACTGTAGAGACCAAGAGAAGCTTTCAAATGACTCTACTTCCCTTTCTAAAAGTTAGATTAGTAGTGAGATTCCAGAAGTTTGGGAGGGGAGGGTGTTCTCCTCCAGCCCTTCTTCTCCAGGGTACGGTTACGGGGGATAGCGATCAAGGCATTCCATGGATGATCGATGTGTGATTGTTTTGCGACGGAGTCTGTCCGTATAGTGCATGGAACATTGTTTACGGCAGAGGTTGTCGAATTTTACGAGGATTTAATCGCGGATTGGCGATTAACATGACAGTTGCGGACGGCGGACGGATTGAGAGATGACCGCGACTGCTCTCGTCGAACTGCCGCTCGAGAACAACAAGTGTTTGGTGTGAACTCAGCAGGGAAGTCACAGCGGGAATAGACGAGCAGCACAGAAGACTTTTTGGGCCATTTCATTTCGCTTTAAGGAGTAATTTCAAAACCCAAAGAAATGCCTGAACCCAATGAATGCCTTTGAAGGAGGAGGAAATAAGCAAGACCTTCAATGTGATCGTAGAAAATTTAATGTGACATGAATGGAAAAATCGCTCGTAAATGTCGTAAAGGTAAGTGGGTAGAGCGTTATGTGGGTAATTCGAGGGTAAAACCATAAAAGTTTCAGCAGGGCAAAACCAGTAAAAAGAGGCACCTGAACAATCACCGTTAGCCTGGTTAAGCGCTGTTCTGCCTTTCGCCCGAAAACCTTTTAGGGATGGGGCCCTTATAGAGTAAATGGTTCACTTTGGGCTCTATCGGCGCTGTCTGGAAGGAGACCTCGAAGGAACTTCGTTGGCATTTCTTGCTTGGGGAAGCTGAGTAGGTTCATGGTGAGTTCACTGTTGATTGAGGTCAATTCGCTGATAATATCTGTGATTCCTTGATAAAATGATCTCAGTGGCATTCTTTGAACGAGCTCGTTCTCAAGGATCGCTTTTTTGTAGTCGTTTTTCCATTTCCCTTTCAATGCCACTCGTTCGTCACCTTATCGTCATCTGCCAATAGTCAAGGTCGAAAGAGAAATGAGCGTAGAAAGAAGTCCTAAGAAAGTAAACTCACATTGGAAAAGGAGAAAATACAATGCAGTTCGGCTTGGAGGGGGCATTTTGCTATTTCGCGAGTTCTTTTCGTTGGTTCTTTTTGACTAACGCGTCTCATTTTGCTTAGACCTGTAAAACCCTGTGAAGCTGCACAACTGTCCGAGTGAACCACTTTGGTCGCTTGAGTTCACAGATTTTCACAAGGTAGCCTGCGCAAGCCCAGTTAGTGTGTTTGGGGCCCCCACTAAGCCGAACTGTGCCCACAATACTGAAGGACTCGTGAAATTCTTAAAGTGGTGTTCATAATGTTGGGATTAGTGAAACGACGGCTTCAGTGTCAGTACACCCCCCTCCCCCCTTACCTCCTCTCGTGTGACCTCTCTCTGGCAACCTACCTACTCACTTACGAACTAACTTTTCCCAAAAATTTTCCGTCAAGCTTTGGACATCAACGATCAGCTAGTGTATGTTAATTTTGCAGCGCCCCCGAGTGTAGAGGTCAAAAATCAACGGAATTGCCATTGAGATCAATTAGGCTCTTGTCCCCAGAAATTGGCCCTCATCCCCCCCCTCCCCCTCCCCTCCTTCCGCGTCCCCTCCCTCCCCTTCGCACAGCCCTATTGTACCCTGCCTGAAAACCAAAAAAGGTCGTAATAGGCATATACATGGACAACACCCTTG